TACGCATTTTAAAGCCGAGTTCACGAGGCTCGAACCTACGAAACAATCGTAAAGCGGATTAGAAATGGTTTCCCCGAGGATCAGTAGAGGCTCCTGAGTTTTAAACGCGAGCGGAAAAGCGCGAGAGAGAAAGAGAGACAGAGAGTGAGTCAAAGAGAAGAGTTCGAGGTTTGCCGAGTGCACTTAGCCTTTCCAGCTACTCAGGCTAAGCAGTTCGAATTCGGCGTGTTTGTCGGAGTACCGGTAGAGGGACAGTTGTTAGTTGAGGAGTAAAGGGACGAGAGGGCGACACTAGTCGAATCAAAGGGCGACCGACCGACCACGTTCTTTGAAGTAGGGGCCAATGACTAAATCGTAGTCAGAGGGTGGTTGAACAATGAGGATAATTATTGTACGCAACAGGATGAGAAGGTAATGGATCAAACGAGCATAGGCATTTAGATGTATCCACCATACTTGTCCTTCGATTTGGGAATAGCGCACTGAAATTTGTGTTTGAAAGTACCATATCCATTATCTCAATGGCAATCCATTATTCGGTACGATACTCCGGACTAATACTTGATTGATGTATCCAACCAATCATGTCTGACACAGCAACGGACGAGAAACTATAATTAGGAATAAAATTCGCTCAATTAAAAGGACTGCAGGACGTTTCAGCTCATCGTGGAGTAAATGAAGGTAAGGTCGTTAAAAAATGTTGAACGTCACAGTAATATACCGTATGGTATACATACATATATTCTAGAAATATAATATCCAACGCCCTAGCACTTTAGACGATGAAATATTATTTATAGCAAACTCAAAAGGCAGGAAACGAAAAGCGTCCCATCCGACGGAGCACGGTCTTCCGTCATCACGTTCTATTTTCCATTCTTCATCCATCTTTCCCACGAGCGAAGAGAAATTAGATCTCTAACGACTCCATCGACGATCAATGAGGAAGACACCATAAATCGTAAGCGTTCACAGAGGAAGATATCAATTATACGTCCGGCCTGTTACGTAACGATGATTTGGAAAAAGTATCGCAACGTGGGATATCGTTATACGCATACATGGCTACGTACGTGCTCCACAGATGCGACAGATTAAAGATTATCCAAGCGATAACGATCGTATAAATTACGATCGATTTGGTTCGATCACAAAAGCCGTTATTTCGAGGAAGATTGCGTATACAATACTTATCGCACAATAGTCACGTCGTTATCCGACGACCTTTTAATTTGCGACACTCGGTGGACATACAAGGAGTATCAGTCCGTACGATCACTTATCGATAGATAATCAATCGAAATCGAAGTAACACAGTTCTTCAATTAGTCCCACGCCGACCGAACATTGAAGCAGTAATCAGTCACGCGTACGGTTAATTAAGTGAATTAAAAAAAAAGAAAACGAAAAATGTCAAATCCATAATTTTACCATAGTCTTATAAATGAAATTCAGTCCTGGTTAACCTTGACCCGGACAACGTCGTCGTAGGGTCAAGGTACTCTAATTGGTTGACAGGGTATTTTGAATAATTGGGTTGAGGATCCGTGTAGACGGGTGACTGATTGCAATCCGGTCGATCGCGATAGGAGGGTGGGTTGGGGATAATGAATCAGGAGGGGTGACCATCCCCCAGTGGCAAAACCTCGAGAAACAGAACACAGAATGGATAAAGCAGAGTAGGGATAAGCACGTGGTCTGAGCCGTCATGAAGTCGCACGCACAAGCCCGAGGTCGGGAATCCCAGTGGCGAAGTGGAAACAGCGGGTGAGGTCGTTCCTGTCGCATTTGATACCACGTGCTCTCGGGTACTCCTAAAGCATAGGGTATCCCTGCGTCCTTTCATTTCGATATCAAAGAGCCCAGCTGCCGCCGGTGGTACTCCTGGAGCTAATGCCACTGTTGCTACTGGTACAGCTGATGCTAGTGGTGGTGGGATTGTTAAAGCGTCTCCTACCACAACTTTACATGGTGACCCTGTCTCACCCCTCGCTCTGCCAACCCTAGAAGCACTCTTACTTTGTATCCGTAGCGAATTAAATTTCACCATCCTGGGCTATCCCCAAGAGGGGAAAAATCCCTTTGTCGGGATGCCACAGAGATTCCCTGAGGAACGATACGGGCACAGGCAAGTGGTGTCAATTGGGATGGACGCGTGATCGTTTGACCTCGTGCTGCTGATCGTCCTGAACCCATCCTGACATAGGTGAGCTACCCATAAGAATCTTTTTTTAAAAATAAAACTTACCTTTTTATTCTCATAGATTTATCAGAGGCTGATTTCAAGAATGGCTGAAATGTGTGACCAACGGCCTGAAGGGAACATGAGAAATTTGCAGGGAACTTTAATTAGTATTGTTACGGTTCACTGATAGATGTCTGACAAGAACATCTGGACACGGTAAACTCACTCGTTAAGCCTGACACTCAAAGCCACAAGAGGGGTACGATGAAAAATTATCGTACTGACATGTCACTCTTTGATGCGACGCAGTTCTCAAATTAATTCTAGTACAGAGACGAGTACACCTATGTACCAGCGAGAACACTTAACGGCTTATAGTATAATTACTATGAAAAAAATGGCCATGAGCCAATTTACAATTAGTACAATCAATCTATTGTAATTAATATGATTATTCATTGGACCAATATGATTTCACATGGTACCCAAGAGGAACCAGGGAGAAGCCAAAACCTCTTTCTACAATACACAATGAGCAATATCGCCCAGTAACAAAAATTGCTTTTCAATAGCACTGCTCCTTGATCCTGAGCGAATGCTCACCGGTCCTGACGTTTTTGCACGAGGTCGTCTACTAGAGGTAACAAAGCACAGCGACAGCCGGGGGCACAAGGCAAGGATAATGGCATTAAGCTTTAAAGAGACTTTAACCTAACCGTTAGTTTATTGGCGTGAAGGAGTCGCGAAGCGCGTCTACATCAAAGCGACCGCCTCTGAGCTACTCTCTCTCTCCCTCCCTCCCTCTCACTCCCCTCACTTTACGGAATCATACATGAAAATTTTCCCTCCACCAGAACCACAGCCGCCGCCACAACCTTTTTACCCCGTGCCGTTTGTCACCTACCGAAGACTCTCATTCTTCTACCTCGACCAAGTGTTCTTTAGCAATGCAACAAATATGAACATATGTGACTGTCGCCGTGTAACAGATACAGATATAGGTTATATACGCCTATAAATATTTTCATGAATGCGACAGAGGCTACATCGGCTGCCCAGCAACTAGTAAGGCCCGTAGATAAGGAACTACCTTGATAAAGGACCAAGTAACAGTTCTTGCTGATCTTGTCGACAATATTGATATACTGACGTGTATAAGGTATATGATAATAAATAAATAAAAAAACTAACACAGTAACGCAGTAAGAAACCACAGAGCAAATTCGCAGAACTGCTTGGAGCAGAGAAACAGATCCTGTGGCAACATTGCATCTGGGTCTAGGCATAAGATGTCACGCAACAAGTGTACAGAACCCGGAGATTAAGGATAACGTAATCTGACAGGTGTATACGTAACGTGGTGTTTTTGCAGGATTCGCAGATCCATCACAGACATTGGTACGATTGTCAGATTAATATTGACGGTCGACAAGGTCATGGATACCGAAGAACATATCCTTGGAGAGACTGAGAATTCATTGCTAAAAATGATTTCTTCGTGCATTATGTGACACGGTGTGATATACAATAATTTTTGAAGCATCCTTATCGGGCACTAGTTCTCTCAATTCTCTACGAATGCTCAGCCTGAGAAATCTCGAGATGCACTCGAGACGTAGTCCCCGACGACGTCCAACGTTATTTCCATGAGGTTTCGCGGTACTGTCAACGACGCTCCGACCTCGGGCTAACCGAGAAATGGTACACTGGGGTTGGGAAGTTCGTGAATAATCCCGTGTGATCCTTTCATGTAGCATTTGAAGAAAGTTCTACGAGGCCATTATGGAGGTCAGGTTAGGATATCACTGGATCCAGAAAAATGTACCACTAGATATTACGGCTCTTGATTTCAGGTGGAATTGACGGGTAGAAGAAACTGTGGAGAGAGAAGAAAAAAAATAAAGAGGTTATAAACAGTGCAATGTTAGACGTATTGGGAAGGAGGATAGAACGGTGTGAGAGAGAGAGAGAAAATGAGAATAAGAGAAATATTCTGAATGAAAAGAACTAACTATAGAATTTAGAATTCAGTGAGAGAAGAAAAAGGAAAAAAGCTCCAATGATACGACAACTGCGCTTGCAACTCACGCCTCTTCCATCCTGGTGCATCTAGTCTCTAACGTGGGACATCGGGTTGACAGAAGGCGGTGACGTTGACGTTTCAATGAATCCAAAAGGGAGTAATGCGTAGAAGAGGTAACACGAGAATGTCCGTAGGCAGTGTCAGGGTAGTACTCCCTGGAAGCATTCTGCGAGTTATAAGCACCGTCACAATAGTGCTTTGGGAAGAGGCACTCAGACGGAGGAACTAAACGAGAGCCAGAGGAGACAGGAAGGTGGAAAAGTCACATAAAGACTAGAAACCAGACAGACGGATTTGTATAACATGTCTCTCGCGTTGGAGTGGTAAATAATTGTATCTCACGGATGTTCGTCAAGGTAACCACGAAGTTAGAGCCAAAGGAGATCCCAGTGTCTGAGGTATCCGGTAAAGCAGGAGCGAGAGATAGAAAAAGAGGGCCGAGAGTGACGAGGCAAGAGATGAAGCCAAGGAAGTAGAAGAGGAAGAGGAAGAAGAAGAAGAAGAAAACGTGCGTGCGGTCGTACAGTATTTTTGGAGCGCGTTTATCAAGGGAGCCACGGTGAAATCACCGCGGTTGTTTGCAGCGTGCGGCACCAACATACAGGGTGTCGCAAAAGGAGTGCATCTCCGGCATTGGCTATAAAAATTTTCAGGAGGGTATATCAGACAGTATAATAACATCAGTCATCAGGCATGCTGGCATCATAGGTAGTAACCACTAGGACTCACCTGCGCTCGACGATGTCTCTCAGGCACTCGCGTGGTTCCTTCTCCCCACTTCCGGCTCCCGTCTGCCTTCTGTCGTCTTCGTGTTCCCGTAGCTGCTGCTACTGTTAGGCTATGTTTTTATTAGGGGCGCGACGATGCTCCGCCTTGCTCGTGATGCTCGACGAGGCCCATGCCCGAATGTGTCAACTCTCAGTGGGAAAGCAGCCTCGGGTCGGACACATTTCACGCTCACCTGGATCCTCCAGGTCTTCTTTAACACCTTCCAAAGCACACGACACACACTGGGATTAAGGATGACGCGCGAGGATACCGGTCCTTTGATCTTGTTAAAGGAAGAAAACACTCCTGCCGGACCGTGCATGCGTTTACGCGGCTCCTCCGAAGCACACCGTCGCCATGAACTTCTCGCACGAGTACGAGTCGCGGCGCCCTCTCGTCGCGACGGGGCCAACTGCTGTTCAAAGCGCGGCCAATCAACAGGCCGCATGCCCTCTGGCCCCTGACTCTTCAGTTACGTCCGTACTGACTCCCGGACCCGCTACCTTGATGTTCCTAACGAGCATTAGGGTATAGCTCATGAAATCATGTAAATAAGATTTTTCATAGGGATATTATTCTTAAATGGAGATTGTGATTCCGAAGGAATACTTTGTAAAGACGTGGTTAAGAATGAAATAAATTTTAAAGGGTCGGTAATATCGTAGGTATAAAATGATATCGTGATTCACTGGTTAATTGGATGTGGATTTAAAAGGACTTTAGATATTTTCTCGAGGTTTTATGTTTAAATTCGATGGGTAGACTATGGGGAGATACGTACAGTCTTGTCGATCGGTGATTATCACAGAGAAAACCTCGGGACAGAGCATCACCTTGTACCTACTTGTAGCAAATACCCATTTCTTTGATCCTCGCATCCCTTTGATCTCTCGACACCCCCCGGACGCTCTTCGTGCCATCGTCGTTGCACACAAGTAACTCATCCTCCCCAAGTGGTGCCTCCTAACAAAACAATTTCAAAGTCTCTTCAAAGTGTACCACACGGCATTGTGTATTTGACTCAAATAAAATATAGAGTCTATTGCCTTTGCTATCCTTTGCTTTCGCCAAACGCCGTCGTTCCTCTTGTTTTCAGCCGGAAAAGAATCCGAGAACTTCCCTTTGTAACAGCCGCGAACGATCATCCGTATAAACCGGAAACCGACCTTCGTCATTTGAATTATACCGCTTAAAAGAGTCTTGAAGGAGCTCGGTCGGTAAGAAAGTTTGAGATTTATATCGCAATCGATAACTTCGTTTAAAAAATTGAGTTCACATTTTTGAGAAGAGAAAGACACGTCAAATGTCAACCAGAATGAAATTATAGCGTATAAAATTGTACTTTGACCTAAAAACAATTTAAAAAATATATTTTCTAATATTTAATCTACTGAACAAAATTTTTCAATTTCGTCATGACTTTCGATACAATCAATAATTATCGTGGAAGAATCTCAGGTATACATTATCATTTAATTAGTATTATGGTTATATAATAAAAATTTTTTATTATTTTAATAGAGAACCATTCAACGGTAATTTGTCCACAGGATCCAAAGGATTCCTCTCTTTACTACGTGGGATTAAATTCCTATTATTTTTAACTTGAAATTCAATTTTATCGCGTTTTGCAATGTTACTTGTAAATACAAAGTGGATACCGGTTCACAAACAGGTTTTAGTGTTTATACCGAATCAAATAAGGGTCGTGGAAAGATACCACGACCGGAAGTCATTCGTTTCTTAGTCTAAACGCTGATCGGAGTCAATTAAATGTAATTAAATAATTTGAAACGTAACCTTTTACTTTGCTTTCAGACCTAAGCTCAATAGACTGTTCTCAGGATATATGCGAAGATGATAAAGAATCGTGTTGGGGTAAATTTGATGTTATTGAAATTCAAATATATCAGAACTGATGCGATGACGTAATTGATTAATAAATTTCAGATACCGAAGATGTGGTTGATCTAAGTTGCACAGCTTCTGGAAAATATGAAGATATCAATCCGTTGGATATGATCAATGACGAATCGAAACACCTGTCGTTAGCTGATTATCGTAATAATTTTATTAATAATTTCTTATATAATTTTATCACACAATTTATTTTAGCCAAATCAAATGTTATAGTAGTGACTCTACTTGAATTGCAGTATATCAAATGAATCCAAAACAACCTCCAAAATTTGATAGGACTGTAAATCGTCGTCAAGAAGAAATTAGACCTGAACGATATATAGATTTTCGAAAAAACCGATCTATGGATCCTTTTCAAGAAGAATCTGGGAAAACGAAATTTTTAGAAAGATCTGCTAAGATGCCAGTTCAAAAATTCAACGATTATCCCAATAAAACTTATGGTAAATAATCTTGCCAAGTACCAGTAAAATATGTACAGATACCAATGAAGATTTTAATTTGCATTTTCCATCATCAGAAATAGAAGCTAGTCCCGCCGGTACAGTCAGTGTGAGGTGCACTCCATCCAGTAAAGACTTCAGTTCAATATCTCAAATTTAATAAGAGAGACCTTCAAATATAATTCAAAATAATCTATTGTTCAGGTCCGGAAATAGTGGGAACGCCATCTGAAGTCGTGATAAAACTAAATGAAGTTATGAAGAGATACATCCCTCAACGTAACGGACTCCTGCAGGGGGAGATCAACAAAGAAGTAGACGAGGTAGAAAATGACACTGGAAACAGCGCTGCTCAAGGTTAATAATTAGGATATATTAATTAAAATGAAATTAAAAAATCCAAAAAGACAAACAAGCTCTTTATCACTGCTTGTAATAATGCTGATTCGACCTCCTTTAAACCAGAACCAAAAGATCTTGAAGAAGAGGAAGAAGAGGATGATTATCACTGGTGTCCTGGTGATCTGAACTTGGACCTAAACGAATCAAAGTATCCGGAAGAAAATCGCTGTCCAGGAACCCGTGACTTATTGAGTGGCAAAAAAGTACCTTGCAGTAAGGCTCGTGTTCTGCGTGAAATTGCATTGGGACGTAGAATTCCCAGGACCATCCTGCCACCCAGAGTGCCCTTCGAGGAGTATGAGGATGACGAGGTATAGTCAACAATGGTAGAAGGAACAAACAAAACTATAATAGACATTAGCATAGTCGAAATAGATCAAAGATAAGGATAGAAATAAGGATAGAAATAGAAATAGATAAGGATATACCACTAATGATCACGATAATGAAAAAGCTAGGTTAATAAGAGCGGCACACGTGTGCCTACAGTGATGATCAGAATGATAATCAACGAAATAAATTCTCAGTGTGATATCCTGTACAAACAGCAACACGCCAGTGTAGATCCGATCATATTGACGTTGAATGATCGCAACCTAGATCGATATCGATCGCTGTATATTGTAAAAGTGAAATAATCGACAGGATTTATCGTGGCCGTTTGGCTCTGGTCAATATCAGTTTTATTTATGAAAACTTAACATATGTAAACGTGTCTCTACGGTGTAGATACAAGCTGACAGTGTTTTTGCAAAGCTGAAAATTGACAAGACATTTCTTATTGCTCAGGATGACCTGATTGAGGACGAGGAAGAGGAAGAGGAAGAGGATGATTGCTGCTGTGCTAAAGGTGGAGAAGGAAGGCGAGACAGTCAAGGAAGAATAAAGAATCCGGACTTCAGAGCTGCCAAAAAGAAACCGTGTTGTGCTCCTAGGAGAGGAAATAAGAGTAGCAAATGCGTCTCCTTTGCCAAATAGAGTATTGAGAATTGTAAGCCACGATTGTGGAACGGATGGAAGAAGCAAAATAAATAGTAGAAAAAATATGAACTATTTGGACTTAGATTTGCATTCTGTTATGTTAGCAGATAGAAATGACCTGTCATTTTTGTTTTGTTTCACAGGGAAACGTATCACGAATGGTTTGGAACGTCGAATCTGATTAAATTTATGTGAGAATGGAAAATTCAGTATTTTTAAATAACTATTGTCCTCTTGGGCAGTGGAATAATGTTCGGAACGAAGGGAGATCCATGTGTCTACATTGTGGAAACAAACCCAACCTAAAATGTCCTTTGAAAGGAAATACTGATAATGATCGCTTGTTCGACGCGCCGTATGTTATTATTCGTAAATTTTGTTTATATTTGTTAAATAGATGCTTACTTATTTAGACTACGTGGACAAGTTTTCGGTTTACCTCCGGGATATCCTGATTCGCCGTTAGGACGTAAAAAATTAACGAATCGGGAATTGCGAGAGCATATCGACAAGTATGATCTCTGGGACTATACACCGGTTTGGCAGGTGCCTAGATTGAATTCTGTTTCGTGTTCAATATGTTGTCGCGAATATATTTGCAACAATATGCCAATGAAAAAGATTATTCGCATGGCAAAGAAGAACATGACCCTGGATGGACCGATCGGTAAGAGGCGATACGTATCGATAACGCAGAAAGCACAGATTGATAAGAAATGGTTCATTTGATTCGCGGGTAAAATCATTGGCAAATTCGGAGATAATAAAGATATTTAGTACTCGAGCAACAGAATGTATATTTAAATAACAAAAAAAATTGGTATGTATGAAGAAATTTTAAATATGAATACAAAAAATGTTTCAGGAGAACCAAAAATATATTTTCCACGATTTGGAAAACTAACAACTGAAACAAAACTGAAGCAGAAATGCAACGGGCAGAAGTCAAATGGAAAAATATGTAATCGTTCCTGCAATTCTAAATAAGGAAACAGAGATAGAATATTCAAAATATTTATAGTCTCTTATGAGAAAAAGACATTGAAAATGTATATTCGTGCTTAAGAATCTTTAGCCAGTTTGTTAAAGTACTATTGAAAAATTTCATGAATGAAAGGCCCAACAAAGATCTCACCTTTTTCATAAATGAAACTGATCCATAGGTACTTATAAAATACCAAAAGAAAGTTTAATTGCATAATATCTAAGTCAGATGCATTCTATGTAAGTTAATATGCAGTGCAAAAGGAAAAGCAAACTGTATGTGGAATTAACTTATATTCTGTATGGCTATTTTACAATGAAAATAATATGCACTAAAATATTATGCAAATTGTACAAATGAGTACAATTTGCATTGTACTTGAGTATTTTTCTCAGAGTTTCTATTAGTGGGACATATGATTAAGTACGCAACAAATATTGGATGAACAAAATGTCTCTTGTACTTTATGAGAGTTCCGACATATACCAAATATGTAAATTAATTTCAAAAACTGCTTGAAAATGCCAGTACAAATATTCCCTACATTTGGCCTACATTAATCTATGCGCTTTTCATTACAATTTCATGGTACGTAAATATTCACACAGCACGTGGCAGTAAGAAAAAAAAAAGAAAAAGAAAAAAACCTTAAGTAACAAAAATCATAGTGCGCTGAGAGAATTTCTTAATTTTTCTTATACATAAATGTCACAAGAACAACAACTAAATATATGAATGTCGAAACCAAAAGAAAATATTAAATTTTATTCTTTGACGTTTAACCGATACTGCATTGTTGCTTCTATTTTAAAGTTACGTAAACAAAGAAAAGAAAAACAAATCACAAGTCACACGCGCCACAAGTAGTGTCCGAAATATTAAGGCCCATATTTAAAAATTATATTTACCGTCAAATATACCCTTTTTTAGTACTACGTCTTTTAATCAGAAATAACATTCCATTATCAGTCAATAGAAATAGTAGAGCAATTTTGACGTTTAGAGTAAATTTTTAATATGGACCTAATTAAGTAAAAATAATTTTTTACTCGCGCCATCTGTACATCGCAAAATTTCATGTTTACGTAGAAAAGGTCCATTGTTCTTATTTTTTGTCTCGTTCTTAAATATTATGAGATAAATTATGTTGATAGTACATCATATTGTTTGTCGATTAACGTACAGATAAAAGTTTTTGCACCCTGAAAATGTATCCTCTTCGAGTCCAAGTATAATATGAATTTACTTCTTTTTTGAGGCATTATAATAGTAAATGTAATTTAAAAAAATTATCGTGCAACCATATGTTGACCATTATTAGTTCCTATCATTCATTGGCTCTTCAGTTTCATACAATTTTCATATAAATAATACATATAAACACACTTCAGTCATCAGAGCCTGCTGCTCGTTTCGTTTTCCTTTGTCTTGGACTCTGTTTTGGAGTTCTCGGGGACTTGTCTGAAAGTGTTACGTATTGATAAATAATGAGCCCATCGCCAAGACAGTGAATGTAATTAGAATAAGTGATAAGATTATGTAAAATAAAAACGTCATTAATACACTTACTGAGTCTGTTTAGAGTGTCCTTTGGTAACCAATCATAATCAACATTGTTAGGATTGGAGGTGCCCATTTCCACGGTAGTTTTACGTGAAGAGGAAGAGCGAGATTTACGTCCCAGGGAAGTAAGTAATTGCTGACCACCAACAAGAGTGAGAACGACACATGCAGCCAGGAAAATGTAGAGGAATACAGTCTCACCATCGAGACCCTCATCCAGTTCTATGACTTGCACAGTTTCGTTGTAGACTGCTTCACTAAATTGAAGACCATTCTACAGAGGGAAAAATGTATTTATATTACTTGATTATATATATATTTATTTTTTGCAATTCTGATCCTAAATATGTCTAGTTGAAATTAATAAATTCATATGAATACATACGGCATCTCTGTAATTGAGATTGATGCTCAGACCGAAAGGTCGCCCAGCAACAGTTTCAGAAGGGATGAAAGAGTAAGATAAAGTTGCTTCGTGATCTGGTTTGACAACTTTGTTGTATGCAATTGTTGAGAAGTTTTGGATATACAAGTTGAAGTCCATTGGATAGCGGAAGGAGGCATCAAGAGTTTCAAGAATGAAATCAGTTTCTCCTTTGTTAGTAAAACCAACAAGAAATTCGACAAGATTTCCAGCTGGGAATTCTGAAAATATTAAAATATGTAATTAAACAGCAACAAGAGAAGCTTTTATAAATATGAAGTATCCTCCAAAGTAGATATATCAGAATATATATATATTATTAATAAAGCTCTTACCATGACTACTGGCTGTAGTGAAGCTAGGTTTAGTAAATAATATGACTGTATCAGCATCTGGTGATGCTGTACTTGCTTCTTCTTCTATGTCATCTTCAGTAATAACAGTACCTTCTTCACTTTCAACATCAACCGTGTCATCAATAATTTCATCTTCTTGTGCGTACGCCACAGTCTTTCCTAATAATAACCAATAATAATAATTATACATAATAAAAAACAATTTCAAATACCAGAATACATACATATGATGCCATACAAATCCATGATAATTAAAATATTTCAACCGACTATTGCTATTTAAATAGTTTCATCATTTATTAATCATAAATAACTTCATAAGATATATCAAATAACGATTCTAGAAGATACCATATTTTTTCTATAAAGCTCCATTCATCCAGTCACAAGTCTTTCCAAAATACAGCACAGTCTCTCCAAAATAAAACAAAACTGACTACTCCTATCAATAGCTTTTCAAAATCAGACATACAATTCTAAAAGCATATATCATACATTTTTTAATTCTAATAACAATCTAATAATATTAACCATATTGTATAAAAGATTGGAGTATTTGTACAGATGCTATTAGGTAAGCCGCATCCGGCTACTAGAGGAGAGTAACGAAAGTACACACTTTTTTATAAAATTAACTAAACCCATAATAGCAAACAAATGATTATTACCGAAATCAAAAGTGAGAATAATCGCCGGGACGACGAGTAGCAGAAAAATTCCTAAGTTCTTCATTGTTAATTCAGTTTCCTTGCGTTTTCTTCACTCCAGCGAGTCACTACGGGCTCAAACACACATCTGTTCACTTGGTATCCGTCACGAACTCTGCCAGAAGCTTTCGCATACCGTGGCAACTCGTTGATACCTGCTTGCTACGTGGAAGAACGACACCACAATCGTCAATTCGACAACGTGGAACATGAGGAGGCACAAACTATGAGATTAACATGAGCATCCCATCTAACTGAATATTGCAAAGTGTTACTGCCATCTGTTGATAACTTTTTAAACATTCTAAGATGTTTTTGAAAAAAAATGTTATTTTTAATAAAAATGAATTACTTTTGGTAGAAGGATATACGTATACGTAGCTAATATAAGTTTTATTATCGCTTATACTTTGCTTAGGATATTTTAATTCAAAGGAAAAGAATATCTGAAGGTGGAATATTTTGTTTTTATCTATTGAGTCAGATTTGATTGTTCAACGAGGTTTAACGTTATACGTTGGGGACTCTAGTGCTGATAATCTTGTTTAATTTTCTACTTGATTTTAATTTACAGTTCAAATTCTGTTTGTGACTTATCGGCTGTTGAGTGTGTTGTCAAAGTGGTAGGTTAAGAGTAGTTGGTGCTGTGGAAATTTTAATATTTCTTGATGATTGGACTTTATATGTAGGATACAGTTTTGGAGCAATTGTTACGTATATGGTTAAGGAGCACTGAGTAACATAAGGTATCTTTTTGAACATGTTGATTTAACAGTGTATTATTTGTTATTATGTATGTTGTTTAGTTTAGTTTAATTGTATACTACAACATTACAGATATCAGGAAAACTTTTGGGCTCCAAAATGGAATTCGAGGATGACTTCTTCTTTGAGGAGGACAAAATGTTGGTTTTGTCGAGACCATAAGCTTTTATTTTCATATTCAACGTGCTTCCTTGCAGTTTCAATGTTCTTCCTTTCTCTTGTAATATGCATGCCTCGCTGCCATGGTGCGGTGGAACAGTTTAACGGATAATTCGTTGCTGCCTGCAGAAGATCCATTGGAGACTGATGCGAATAGATGGTTGCAGAATGATGATCGTAATATTCTGACCACCGTGCCACTAGCTAGTGTCGAGTTGCATCAGCTGGCCATGATGGAAGATCGCATGTATGCACTACTATTTTGAGTTTTAATTTTATTTTAAATTATAAATATTTTTATCACATATTTGGCCTATTTGGTACTATTACACTTTGCTCTCTCGCACCCATTTTTTACTCTTTACTGCTGCGGAGATCAGACCAGATGTAGAACTGATTGCTCAAGATCAGTCTGCTGCTATCTTACAACCACCTAATTGTCAACTGTAAGTTTTACACATGAACAAGATGTACAGAAGATTAAAGCAGAAAAACTTTATATTTTAAATATAAAGTATAATATAACAAATTATTATAATGCACATTTCATTTCCAGGTTTCGTGATTTTACATGGTATTAATTATACCTAATTTTCTTTTTTTTTTCAATACTTTTACTGCACTGTAATTAAATTATTTTTATCGTTATTGGCTACAATTTTTATTTTACAATGTTTATTGTCGTCAAAATGGTTCATTGTCTAAAAACTCTACCGCTTTACTGTTTTATTGCTATAAATTAATTGTGCATTCTGCATCGAATGATGAATGTAAAGTACTGTGTACAATGACATTTAAATAACATATAAAATTCCACCTCTATTAAACTTTTTTGCTCCTATAAATAGGGGGATGACCATAACTTCTGGGAGTGTCACTATTCAAAAAGATAGCAGTAATCTCATTGGTATCAGTATCGGAGGAGGTGCACCTCTATGTCCATGCCTCTACATTGTTCAAGTATTTGATAATACCCCAGCAGCCTTAGAAGGTACTCTACAATCAGGGGATGAACTAGTGGCTGTGAATGGAGCTTCCGTCAAAGGGAAAACAAAAGTCGAGGTAGCAAAAATGATACAAGCTTGCGATACGCAAGTGAATATCAATTATAATAAATTACATGCTGATCCGCGACAAGGACGTACATTGGACATAGCACTGAAGAAGGTTCGTAATTCGTAGAAAAATATTAACAATCTATTGAATTATATAATTCATAACATAAATATTGTTTATATCTATGTATAACCAAAAGGTTATAATGCATTGTACAAAATAGGATCATATTTGGCTTTAACCTAATGCATTTCTAGGTCAAGCATAGACTAGTCGAAGGAATGGGCAGTGCAACAGCAGATGCACTTGGACTTTCACGTGCAATTTTGTGCAATGATGCACTGGTTCAAAGACTAGCTGCACTACAACGTACGGAGAATCTGTACAGAGGACTTGTTGCACATGCCAAAGCGACATTGCGCGCCTTCTTTGATCTTACGCAAATCTATAAAGGTACTGCTACATGATGGTATTCAGAATAAGTACAATCATTGCATTATACCTTCTACGAATTATAACGTAATGCATTAATTTTATAGCATTCGGCGACACGTTTGCTGCTATTGGAGTAAGAGAACCGCAACCACGCGCCAGCGAGGCTTTCAGACAATTCGGCGAACAGCACAGGCAAATGGAGAAATTCGGTGTAACAATGTTAAAATCAGTAAAACCAATTCTAAGCGATCTTGGTACATACCTTCATAAGGCTATACCAGATACAAGATTGACCATCAGTAAATACGCGGATGCGAAATTTGAGTATCTTTCGTATTGCCTGAAGGTCAAGGAACTTGATGACGAGGAACAGAGTTATGCTGCTCTTCAGGAACCATTGTACCGTGTAGAAACAGGAAATTATGAGTATCGTCTAGTACTTAGATGCAGGCAGGAAGCACGCGCACGCTTTGCCAAGCTTAGATCAGATGTCCTGGTGAAACTTGAACTCCTGGACAACAAGCATGTTCAAGATGTTGTGTGGCAGTTGCAAAAATTTGCATCTGGATTGGCAAAGTATCATGCCAATACTAAAGACCTTTTATCGACAGTTACATTGTTCCCGGTGGAAGTGGATCTATCGCAGACTGCCTTTCAATATAAAAGTGCTGGACAACAGTCATCCGTTGAGAGTGAGGATGGCGATTATGAGGCCGATGAGAAGGTCGATGAAAATGATGATTCGCTGATGCCATCAACAGGAAATTTAATATCTACAGATATTGATGAAATGTAGCGACGTTATTTGTTGCCTCTTGAGTTACTTATATTCTGATTGTCATCATTCAATGTTACCATTGATTCAATGACAAAACAGCTTAAGTTTACTTGAATTTTACGCAATAATCGTTCATCAATGACATTCCTAATTCTGGATCTTCTGTACTTATAGTTTCGATTTTTGTTGCAAATATGATGGGAAAGGTTATATGATTGACTTGCCATTACTCGAAATAATTTATATCGTTTATGAGTCGGATCTGTTAGTTATTAATGATCTCTAAAATATATCGCTTATTCCTACCAAAGATAAATATACGTTTAAAGCGAAGCAACAAAAGATTAGATAAATGAAAAGCTATGTCTAATTGTCTATTCATTAATGCTAATGGTACAAATGTAAGCTTAGGGCAATATACAATAATTTTATTAACAATATATTGCATGTGTTCACTTAACTTTACCTTCAAGCAATTATAAATAGATGCAACATGTTACTTATAAATATAAATAATTACTTCATTAACTAAAACTGATGATAATTTTGAGCTTCGTATCAAAATTTATTATATAACGTACAAAAAAAATTTCAGGCGCATAAGTCAAATTCTTAATAAAACATCAAAGAATGGATTTCCTCAAGTGCTTCATAGGATCAATGGTTTCCATATATGTACCACCTGAAGTTAACGCCCCCATTTTAATTCTTATGGTAAAACCACACGTTCAGGTGATGCATTTGGCTTGAAAAACCCAGTAATTTTCTCAGTTAATACAGATGAATCACTGCACACTCGTAGAGTCCACAAAAGTTCTTGAGTCTATATTTTCAACAATACCAAAGGATGATATAAACACGTTTAAAATGGTAATCAAGAAGATACCACTAACTGTTAAATTATTAGCCTTATTAGCCATGCACATTTGATTATGTATCTTAATGTTATAACAGCTGTTCCAAATAAGGCCAATACCAACAACGACCTGTAGTAACAGACTCAAACCAATCATAATCAAAGAAGGATAATAAAATGGGTGCCGTCCACTAGTTTGAAGTACGTAACGAAACTGATTAGCATTTGCGGATATCAAAGCAAGATCCATCATCCCTTGAGCAATAGTTTTTTTCTGCTGATATACATTAACATCAGGTGAGTTACGAGGTACTGGAACTCCACTGCCAGGTCCTGGTGGGGCAGCCGGAAATGATGGAAAAGGATCTGCTGGTTGATCAGAATCATCTCTAGGATAGACTGAACCGTTTCCGGGTAAAAGACCATCATCTATACCCTCATCGTTATCTGAACTAGGTACAACCTTATCTTCCGGTTCAAGATCATCGATTTCAGGTCCACTAGTGGGTTTTGGATTATTCGTATTATCAGTTTCCATTAAAGGTTCCTTTTCCGCGTGATTAGTATCGAAATTGCCGTTGTCAGTACGTAACATTTTAATTGACGGTTCAGCTCGATTTGAATAGTTATCACTAACCACGTCCATTGGCAGGATGACGTCAACGCTCTTTCTCTCTTTTATATTTACCGCCATTTTCACTTGAATATTTAAATTACGTAGCTCTCAATAGTGTCTTTTTTTGAACTGACGTGTGTTAATAATCTTCAACTGGGTCTTTTTGTGCGTCAACACTCGCAACGAGTACACATTGTCGTTAATATTAAGCTTGATTAACTACTCAACTGTGTGCACAGTGTGTTTTTAATTCCACTTTTTTCTGCTTTATTAATTCAGCAATTGCGAAACACGTTTGTCGTACTTTATCGCTTTTACTAAGTGAAGTTCATGTTTGCATCTTTATACTTTATTTGCAATTTCTAGAACCCAGCAAGTAGCCTGACTCAGTTTACTGGGAATGAAATTGCATTGCGAGCACGTCATCGGCCTCGACCAGAATTATATAGTTGATGCATGGACGTATAATGGAACATGTATAAATTTAATTTAATCTTCGAGTTTTCTAGTATTTACTTGCACAAAGGAGAGCGTGAGAACTTTTATACTTTAACTCTGTCTTAGTAATTTCTTACTGTTTTATGAACTTAAATATGCGTAAAGTCGTCGATCTGTGTGCTTCAATGTTTTTGAAATTTGAAAGTCATTAATTTTTAAGATTCCACTACATATTTATCATTACACTGTTCACGCAACTTAAGTATAAATTCAGTTTTAAAGTCGTCAGTTTATTTTATTTTCGGTTTTGCACTGTTCTTACGTGAAATTTATATTTTAATGAAATTTTTTATATGTTCTGACTGGTTTTTGTAAGCACGGTGATATAGAGAACCTTTTTTTTTTTATTAAGGAGTGTTGACTCGGCTATGACTTTCTCACTATTGAATAGACATACTCCCAGTTAGTTACTTTTAACGGGGAATCAGCTTCAAGGACGATATGTGGACCAAACGGTGGGGATAAACGAGTATAAGGCGCGTGAAAAAAATTAAGGTAGACTCATTCGGATTTTCGGTTTATTCTTTCTTTATTGGACAAGGAATCGGAGGTTGTAATTTTAAATTCTGATTTTGAAGAAATTTACCAATTTTTTACTTTCTTGGGCAACTGACCTAGGAGGCAGAGATACAATAAAAGAAAAATTGTATTATATGTGTACAATCTCATGGATTGAGCAAGTTGAAGTTACTTATGGTTTGAAATTAATGGCGGCTTGTTTATTTGTTAACATTTATTCAATTTATGCATTTTCTACGTCGTCGGTCACAGCAACGGCTTCAATTTCAACTTGAGCTCCCTGTTAGACAATTAAAATAATTTATTTGTAAATTTACATTGCAGCTGCCAAAAGTTTACAATGTTTAAGCTTCGTTCCTAGAATATTTGCAAATAGTACTTGTAATATATCTTACCACTGGCAACTTTCCAACTTGAAATGTTGATCTGGCTGGATAGTTCTTAGTGAAAACTGGTAGGCATATAAAACAAATAAAATTGAATAAGGGTTCCAGTACTGTGAATTATATACTCGCGTTAAGTTATTGCAAGACAATACATAACAATAGTTTTTATAAATCAAATGATCTATCATAATTCACATAATAATTTTTGTTTGCTTTGAATACTTACATTCTTTGTATATTTCATTCACTGCAGCAAAGTCTTCGATATTGTTTAAAAGTATTGTAGTCTTGACAACTAAAAATAAGCATATATATATAAATATAGGTATATTTATCTTTTATATACCTCAAAATATTAAAGCAAAAAAAAAGATTCTATATAAATCTTGCAAACCTTTTTCAAAATTGGACCCAGCCTCTTCTAAGATATATTGCATATTTATCAAGGCCTGTCGAGCCTCTGCAGCAACACCGCCACTCACAAGTTTTCCTTCAGATCTTTTGACACCCAGTACTCCAGAGACATAAAGAGTCCGGTCAACCAAAATGGCCTGACTGTTAATAAAATGTATAATCAGAAAGACAGAATTTAAAAAGTATGAAGAGATAAAACATTCTATATACGCAAGAGAGGATGATTATGCAATAATCAAAGTCGCATAGTAATACAGTAATTTAAAAAAAAATCAATTCAAGTCATTCAATTCTGTTAAGCTCTTAATTGCCAATTGACATTTTCTGATTACACTTTTTACTTACTTATATGGTCCAACGGGTTTTGGTGCCAATGGAGAATCTATTATCTTGCGAATAATTTTCCTACTTGCCATGATTACTGATTCTACGTTCCACTCGCACTGGACTATGGTACATGCTCCAGAATAAAGTACTCGTATGAGCATCAAAAGGATGATAAGCTAACGCATACATTATATAAACTAATGTGTAGAGCTTCATACAAATAAGACACAGATAACGTTTGACCACTGATTTACTCTATCGACAATGAAATTAAAAAGTCCATTCGAAAATGAACCGAGAGCGCTAAGTGCACCATTGCTTCTCTGTTTATTGCATGCATTTGACCGAGACAGAATATGCTCTCAGCAATAGTGACTTGGAGAAAGCACGTAAAAACGCTTGTACGAACGACGGACCTAAAGAATCGCTGCCCCCTTACAGATATCTGTTACTTAATACGGTATATTGTTGTTCACGTAGCATTCCAATGCTATAAAACTGTTTAGTCTGTATTTCGAGTCGATTCAACACCACCGAAATTCGCTTCAAGCTTTGATAGTTAAAAGTAAAATAAAAGTAATCGCACCGCTAATTTCTACGAATGATATATGATTTATTTGAAAACTTGTCACGTTACTCCGTTTGCAGACAATAGTTGACAATTGCATCAATTGTACACAGCGCTTAAAATATATGATACACGATGTTAGTCGTGCAAAGCGATATAATCAATAAGAATTGCAAGCAAAGCTAATAATCGCTTACAACGAATACAAGATCGGTAAATCAAAATGGCGTCCGGCAAAATGTTTGCGTTGCACGAATCTTTCCAGAAAAGTTTAAATCGATTCGACACCGATGGCGCGATGAAATCTCAAAGTTTGCAGCACAGACATTTTTTTTATTACGATATATATAGCGTATACATAGCTCTTTTTCTCCATTTTTTTGTTCTTTTTCTTTGTTTTTTCTCGTTTAATGTCTGTGTATCCTGTGTGTTCCGTGATTCCACGCTTTTCTTCTTTATCGTAAATTTCTTCTTCTTGCAATATAATCGCGTCTAAGCACGGTCAAAGTAGTACAGTATGCTTTATTAACAACAATAGTAATAGAGTCGGTCGACTGTACAACGCACTTTGTACGGAGCTTTAATGGGCAGTGTTATTACGTCGACCGCGTCTCTTACGTCCACTTCCGGCTGGACGACTTTGGGCCCACTGTTCGTAGAAGCGTTCGGCTTCAAGCCATTCCTGATACTTGTACCACCATTCTTCCCATTTGACGTAATCGTCGAGGCTTAGGTCACGAAGGTATCCACGAGCTTTGTAATAATCGTAACGAACACGAACGTCGTCCCAGCATTCGAGCCCTCTGGGACCCTGAGCGAGCAAAGACTCCGGATAATGTCCTGGAGGTGGTGAATCATATCCTAATCGGGCGATCCTCTCTTCGCCTTCGATCACGACCTTCATGGCATTTTCGCCGTCCTTTGTAATGCGCATGTTCTCCATGTCTCGACGATCCACGCTCCACTGTGCCATCTTGCCAAATCTGCAAAGTGAATCCCGAGGTATGAGTGAACATTGGACGTATTTATTTAGTTGCTTATCAATGTATCGTGACATGGTATTCCAGTTGAGATCTCTTGTTACTATACTGTACCTTTCAGACAAAGTCATCCTGGGTGGACCCACGTGTGACGTGTTCGAGGAGCTATCGCTGTCCTCACTTGGTGATGATTCTGGTGGAGGATGCATCATTGCTGGAGCACCATGACCACTTGGGTGTGTCTTCTCTACCTTGACTGGTTTACGCATCTGTACAAAATTTGAATGGGATTTTGTTGCTCTTGTTAATCCTTAGAGATCCGGATGATGATATAACGTTTCGAAGTCCATATCTGACTTTTATGCAAATAACTCACTCACATAAAAAACTTCCACATATTTTCAAAGGATTCATGAAAATTACACATCGGCTCTCTAAAGATTAAAATGATACATGTAGCTTTAGTGTAAACTTACATTATCATAGGGTATTTTTTTATGTGTACCCTTTTCTTAATACTCTGCCATTCGTTGAGAAACAGAAGCTTGATATAAACATAATACTTCGTGCTGAAATTTGCATACTAGGTATTGAATCAATATGTATGAGATATCAAGATGTTGCAAAAGAACGATTACTCTCCTTAAATATGTGTAAAGGACAGACAAAATTTTCCTTGTGTCATATAAAGAAGTAGCCCTAAATTCTAAAATTTGTTGCCAATATCCTATTCTTTAATCAATTTCATGTAACTGTGCAACAGACCTCATCACACATTCTCTGTTGGCTTTTATTATAGTTTTTGAATAAGGCTAATATCTGAAGAGATGCATGGATCAAATATATTCCACTACTAGCAAGACGTAATTGTGGTCAGTTCTGTGCTACCATTCATTTATTAATTGTTCTTGTGAAATTACTATCAACAAGATTTCACGAGAAGTTCTAAAATATTAAATGTCGATGAATATATATTTACCAATGGGATGGGATCGGGCACTCGTGGATCCTCTGGCATCCTGCTATGATGCTTCTCCTTGCGTCGTACCTTAACTTCTTTATCCTTGACAGCCTTGTAATCCTTGTGGTGCCTCGCTGGTGGCTGAGGAGCTGGTGGTGGTGTTCGCGGACGCGGCAAAGGTGGTGATCGTGGTCTAGTACGTTGTGGAACAACCCGCGAACTAGACGGTACCACCTCCTTGGGATGAGTTCGAGAACGAGCTGGCGAGACTGATCTCGATCGCGATCGCGAAAGCGGCGCGACGCGATGTCGTTCCTTGGGAGAGCAGACGGAACAAGATCTGTCGGAACAGGTGCTACCTGAGCTTGGACTTCGCGCGGGTCTGCCTCTAGTATGTGACCGTTCACGAGGTGATCTGGGACTCCTTGGTCGTGGACTACGTGGACGTGGACTGTGCGGACTGCGTGGCCTGGGACTTCTAGGACTGCGCGGATGACCTCTACTTGGTTCCCCACTTGTTGTTCCTCCAACATAAAGTTCCTTATATCCGCTATGCCTCCATCTATTTGGATCCCTCTCCTCAACCTCGAGGATTTTCTTGTTCCAGTAACTCGACCGAGATTCGCGAGCTTTACGCATTAAACTATCTAGCTCTCTTCGTTTACCAGAGGTTTCACCATGGGGTCTGGGCTGCGATACACCTGTATCCATTCTCATCTTGCTTGATCCACTTCCACTGCCACTATCACCTCGTCTTCTACCATCATAGTCCCGCGACATCCCTAAAAAGATAATATAAAACAATTAATCTGGTTACCAAATTACTTATCAGAGTATCCACAGCTAATGGCACCGATGCATTAATGATTTCTTCCATCATAAACATAATAACATAATATTTACCTAATAGTTGTAGTAATCAAAGCTGATGAGGCAGGACGATAAAACAGCCAATCCGAACTCCTGCGAGAGCAGTGTAACACGTTAATTCTCATAATTACGACAGAACGTTCGAAACGATAATACGTCACTTGAATCGTCATAGATCCACAATAAGAACCAGTACCACTCATCCTCGAGGTTTGCTGGTTTAATAGCAAACGAACAATACCGCGAACCGGAATCGCCCGCGATCGCCAACCGACACGGAAGCGAAGGGGCGAGATAAACGAAAATGTTTGGACTCGTGTATACGCGCGACCCGGACATCGCCCGCCGTGCAATGTCTTACCGTCAGGAAGCTGAACGCTCGGATCCAATCCGGATCCATAAGCATCCCGAATGCATGGAATAATTGTACGAGATTCGGAAGTCATATAGAAGCCAACGGGAGGTGTCGCGACGCGATCCGAAGATCCAGCGAAGGTCTCTCTTGGTCCAACGAAGCGACCAGGGTAAAGAGTAGAAGAAGGCTAGGAATGCTGTATCAACCATCAAAACATCCACGTCAGTTTTGATTTATCGTTAACCTCCAAGTCATCCACCCACGAAGCTCGTACAACCATAATCTCTAGAAGATGTTCACCTACTACCCGACAGCGTTGGCGAGATCGTAACTAGAGGAAGCCTCCCTCATCGTGCACGTCTGTTCGCATCTAAGGAAGGCAAATCCACGCGAAAACAGGACGAACCAAGGGCTCGAGTACCTGACAAACATCCGAGAAATTGGCACGCACCAACCCCATACCGACGGGATCACCGCTGGCGTCGTCGTCGCGAAATCGTTCCTGGCATTACCCGGGTAATACCTTCCCAGTACCGTAGCGTACCGTAACGTAACATATTGTAGCGTATAAGGCAAGGCGTAGTTTCGTACCATTACCGTACGTGTATATACGCTTAACAATATATCCGGAGACGACGTACTCGAGGAACGCGTATAACGGATTAACGTAGAAACCCACCAGGAAGCACCTCGACGTTTATAATCGCGATGAACCGTACCGATCCGAGATCCTTTCGCTCGAAGATTGTGTCAGCCCTTATGGTTCGTACACCTTCGCACTACGTTCTTTTTTTCTCCTTTTCAGGACGCACAGCACTTCCTTCGTGCTAGCCACAATGTCGTACGACTTTGCGCAATGCTAGGTCGCTGGCATGCATCGAGACCCGCAACCATTTATGTTCAATGAACCTTTACAAACGAACGATAACCGATTAATTATTCAGTGTCGTAGTGTTCATGATGAACTACCATCAACAATACACGACTTGACTCATACGAGTCTCACCGCTTTCTTTCTTTCCTGTTTCTTTTCTCTCTCTCTCTCTCTCTCTCTAGCTTGGTTTTACTCGACTTCCTTTGTATTTTAACTCTGAACACCAATCAATTACCCACCCGATGTCGCGACACGCGGCACGCGTCGCCTTGCCCGATTATTTCAACGCGGCCAACAGCCTCTCGAAACTCCGATTACTCGGCGACACTCACTTTTCTCACGACGACTCGTAAACTTGCATTTTTCAACGACGATTCTTTTTCAGATATTCGGGTGCGCGTGACGTTGTAACAATGGGGATCGTTGAGGATTGCTGAGGATTGGAAAAGATGGAACGGACAGGGACTGACTGAACTTGACCAATCGCAGTGGGAGATTTTACTGGTAGTTTATTTCATAGCCAATCACGTGGCGCTGTTCTGTGCCGTCCAATCTTGTAAGGTCGCTTCAAGCGACACTGTGAAGCTAGCTGCATATAGGATATATAGAATTAATTTTTAAATAATTATTAGTCAATAGTCAGATAAAAAGGCCAAGATATGGTTATTGCTATTGGATTTGAAGGTAGTGCTAATAAATTGGGTATTGGTATTATTAATGATGATAAAATTTTGTCTAATGTCAGACATACATATATTACTCCACCCGGCGAAGGTATTTTAATATTTATATTTATGTTAATGTTTCGATAAGTCATAGGTTGAGGTTAAAAATAAACTAATGTTTATACTGTAGATTTATATTTTACTGATAATCATATGCAGTCAATTGTAATCTTTATTTGATAATACTCTTGACGTTACATGTTTTTATGTGCGCAGGGTTTCTACCTAGAGAAACAGCACAACATCATCGGGAACATGTACTCAGTGTGCTGCAAAAAGCTTTGAAGGATGCAGAGGTTACAATGAAAGATGTTGATGTGATATGTTACACTAAAGGACCTGGCATGGGTGCTCCGTTAACTGTGGTTGCATTAGTAGCTAGAACGGTTGCCCAATTATACAATAAACCCATTGTTGCTGTAAATCATTGTATTGGACATATAGAAATGGGTAGATTGATTACAGGCAGTAAAAATCCTACTGTTCTTTACGTATCTGGAGGGAATACACAAGTTATTGCATACGCTAAACAACGGTACAGGATCTTTGGTGAAACCATAGACATTGCTGTTGGAAACTGTTTAGATCGGTTTGCAAGATTGTTAAAACTCTCTAATGATCCTAGCCCTGGTTACAACATAGAACAGCTTGCAAAAAAGTAAGTTAGTCATATATTAATGAACAGTGATATTCACTTTTGTTATAAATACCTTGTTGTTCAGCATTTCTGTATTAGACTATATTTCATGATTGATGAAACAGAGGACAAAAATTTGCACCACTACCATATGTAGTAAAAGGCATGGACGTATCATTCTCTGGTATATTAAGTCACGTAGAGGATCGTCTTCAGGGTTGGCTCGACTCGAAGGAATTTTCCCCAGAAGATCTCTGCTTCTCTCTTCAAGAAGTAGTCTTCGCCATGCTCATAGAAATAACAGGTAATCGTTTGATACCATACGAACCAACAATCTATATTAATTTTCTTAGAATACAGTTATGGTGAATTATAAAAACATCCTGCCGTGAATATCAAACTATTTCATCGAGTTATTTATAACCATTCAAATCTTCTCTTGGATTTTCCACATTAATACAATTTTCGTGGAATTACAGAGAGGGCGATGGCTCATACGTGCTCCAACGAGGTGCTGATTGTGGGTGGCGTGGGATGTAACGAGAGATTGCAACAGATGATGAACATTATGTGCAAGGAAAGAAATGCAATTCTTTACGCAACCGACGAACGATTTTGTATTGATAATGGACTGATGATAGCAGTAGCTGGTTTACTTCAATATAAAAGTAATGGTCCCACACCGTGGTTACAAACGACATGTGTTCAAAGATATCGAACGGACGATGTACTTATTTCATGGAGAAAATAAATCCAATTATTTATAATTGTGATACAAATGAACGTATCTAATTATAAGACGCTATCCATCCTTTCCAGCTAATGAACGTACTAATTTGTTCTATACGCCCACAAATCTGAAAATCGATACGTGAACACAACCCATGGTGTGTTTAAAAAATAATAAAAAAAGAGGAGTATTCTCCGTCTAAAGTATCAAGATAAATTTAATAGCGACGCAACGTATTAACTGATCTATCATCGCGATAAGATATCTAAATGTTTAGTTAAGTAATCCTGATTAGTAAAACAATATTTCATCGCTATCATAACACATCTATGAATGACTTTTGCCATCACAACCCCAATCATTCAGATGACTGAACATTTAATCATGCAACCAGTGCGTAAGCGGGGTATCGCATAAGAATCCTTTATCGCATCATCTAGGCGTTTAAACGCACAGCTCAAGTAAATAAGTCGCGCATCAAGTATTCTGCAAATAATGTATGACTGGCCAGCGAGGGGTAACAAGAAAGGGAAAGAGAAAAGAGCATCATTCATTATTTTTAGGATCGAACAAATGATACCAACGTCGTGTCACGTCCCAGTAATCCGATGGGACTGACGGAAAGAAAAAGGCCTTGACAACTGTTCCACGTGTACGTCACAACCATTGTCTTTTTCCCCAGAAGACTTTTTTTATTTATAGACCACGTGTTCCCTCGAACTTGAGCTAATTTCGAGCAGTATATTACAAACCATAGAGATGGAGTCCCCAAAGGCAAGCACGAGCACACATCACCCTATCCAATGTCTACTGAGAACTGAAAGAGACCCTGAGTCAAAGAATATTCATCAAGAGTACCTGGAGGAGAACCTTGTACTACGAGGTAAAGCATCATATATAGGTAGACAATAAAAGTAATAAAAAAATTTTTTTAAATTCTTCCTCGACAGGCAATAGCGACGATATAGCGTGGTCAGGTTCATCGGGCTAGGCAGGCGCACAGCTGGCTCGAATCCAAGTACCGCCTTGTCAGCAAGGCAAAGCTAGCAGCAGCAGCAGCAAGCAGAAGCAGCTGAGCAGCGCGGGCGGGTAGCTTTCGCGAATCTCAGGTCGTCCTCTGGGTTGACTGGTATTATACTACAGCTCTGAGGAAGGTGACCGACTAGGGTATCGGGATTGAACAGTGTAAAGTATAAAGGGTGCGCAAGAGTTTCCAAATACGGGTGTATGAAGATCAGAGGGGGCACCTCAACGTTGGACTTCATAGAGAGGGAAGTCCCGTACCCCGTGGAAGACGTCGCAGAACGGTAGCACAGCGCGGTAATCGATAGCCGAATGAATCGTAGCCCACAGCGCCAGTGAAACAAGTGGTGGATCGTAGTTAGCAGTTCCTACCGAGGAAAAGTGTTCAGCATTACGGCTTGTGTAGCTGGTGGTGGTCGGGCTGTGTTGTTCGGTCAACCCGTGATAGGAAGTGGTGCGTGAGATGTCCCGGTACCCGGATAAATAGACGATCTTTAAAAGGTGAGTCGCGTGCGACTGTGACTTCTCGGTTTTATCTGTATCTCTCTTTCTCTCTCTCTCTCTCTCTCTCTCTCTCTCTCTCTCTCTCTCTCGGCTCTCTCACGGGAACACACTCCCTCGGTCTCCCCGGCTATTTCTGTATTTACAACGGGGAACCCGCGGCGAGGTGTCGCGAGGAAGAGGAACAAGTGCGCGACATCGTTCACCATTGCGATTTTAAACTTGCAAAGCTCGGAGGCCCCAGTCCAACTCATCTTACAAAAATTCAGCCATCCTCCTCCAAGTAGTTTGCCGTTTTCCGGCTGACGGGGAAGGCTGTTTCTCTATTAGCTACCTCATGGAAATTGATCGTCAGCGACCATGTAAACATCGGATCTGGTGATCAGCCTATTCCCGAAGAGTACATAATTGTTTTGAGGTTGCCGGATAACGGAGGACGCTTCGGGCCTAGGTGACCGAGGAAGAATCGATTCCCGCTTATGTGGAACGTGCTGGAGCTGGGAGGGGATAGTTCTGAGGTAGTCTCCTTGAAGGGTGGGGGGTTAAAATGACATGGAGGGGGTAAATTGTTTGAGTGGTGGGGGTAGAAGATACACAACGAATCTAACTCACCTATCTAGGCCAGTAGCTCTCCACCCTTATCGGACTGCCAAGCTAATGTCGCTACTAGGATGGCTCGCACGCTCTAGTTTCGTGCGCCATTCGACCACTGGTCGATAACGCGAGTTTGAATGATTTTTTTATCGTCCTTTGCCCTTCTGCCAATCTTCTTCTTTCAATACTCCTTTATATCCAGCTGTTATTATGGCTCCAGTCGTTCATCAATTATGTCGAATCACGGACTATGTGTCTCTATCTTGATACTTTTCTTCTCTGCTACCACTTCCCAGTACGGCTTTTTGGCTTCCTTGACTTCTCACGGCTTTAGATTGAAATCGGCGACGTTCTGCTTTTTATCTTGGACCATCTCGAATGTTTCCTCGAGGACGCTCGAGTCGAGCCAAGACATATTTGTGTCTCTTTGACCTTTCGCGTGCTCCACTCCAATGCGAATACCTTCTCTTTCCTTTTATTCAAGATTCATCATGGCTGCGCTCTGTTCAATGCGGATCTCATATATTTCTGGAACTCAATTCAATTTAACGGATAGTTTGAGTTAGTTTTTATATTACAGAATTATACCGTTGGTAATTATATATTTGAAACATCACAGTTTTTGAGGTTATCTGCATTTTACACGTTGCGTGGTACGGTATATGCAAATCCAAGCTGTACAGTATATTAGAAAAATTGTAATAATTTTTTTAAGGACCTATATGTATTCGTTAGAAGCTTATCATAATCTTTCTTACTGTACTCACCCATAAAATATATGCTGTTAAGCAACGACGTCTGTTCCACTCGAAACGTCGTCCAGAGAATAACAAGAGTGTCTTAATCAGCATCGACGAAAGCGAACTGTCTTCGACATTAATTTTTCGACGTTTGCTTTTCGAAACGATTGTCTATTTTTTCCTGAGTGCCGCGATCCTCGAAATTTCATCTCAGGCGTCTTCTACGTGGAACCGAAGAGCGGTGATTTCTGCAATAAATGAAGAACGCCGATACCGTGAAATGCGGAAGTGCATGATTTATTTTTACCATCCACCCCCGCGATACTTCCGGTTCCGCAGAGTAACAACGCTTGGGATGAATTTCAAAAACTTTACTGAAACCACATCGAGTAGTTGACACGTTTTGCAAATATTTATCAATTTTTTTTAATAAATATTTACAAATGAATGCATCCCTGTAATATATACGCTGGATATATTCTGTATAATATATCAGTCGCTATATCGTGATTAATAATTAATATAAAAATGTTATGAGTAAACATCATTTATTGATAGTACAAAACGCTGAAATGATCAACATTAAAAACTTCGATTTCCAAGTTTGTTAATTCAAATGTTTGAAAATATAGAGCAGAGCCATGTATATAACGATTATTCATAACCACCAGTTATCCCTCCCTTAACAAATGTAGCTTCTTTATTAATCGTGTGGTATTAAACCTAACCCGGAAATCGTAGCTAATGTAATTCTATACTTAGCCATGGGTTAATTCAAAATTTTATTAATTTCTATCTTCAGTTTTTTGCCCCATTCTCATACCCATACATACCACGAAAAAGACGGCAACTGTTGCGACATGACGTGCAAACATTGAGTCGTAAATATTTTCACCTCAGCCGTGAACGATGGTAAAAACAGTAACCAGGATTACCAATAAATCGATTTCCGAAGTTCTATCGAGTAAAATTGACCTTTATTATGGGAACAGTTCCACTAGCTAACGTTACAGTGTAATACAAAAATTTCACTGTGTTAGCATATACGCTTAACTTATTTGTACTGTAATACTCGGAATTTGAGGTTAGACAGCTGTTTACTACACGAGCCACGTATCCGAATAAGAAGTTAATAAATGACGTTAAAGATTCATGGTCGAAAAGAATCAAAAAATTCTAGATACTCGTATGAAGTTACTCCCAGTAATACTCACGTGCTAATATTCTATCCGCTGCTGGTGAATATGATTACGCGAAATTCCATAATTGAGACAAATCTTTATGCGACTGTAGTTTCGCGAGAGCGCGTTCCCAGACAATTTGTCAAGTGAAACGAGGAAGTTTGATAGACAGGTAATAAATAAAGAAAAAAGAGGAATACGTGAGTTAGTTACGTGAAAACAACTGGAACGAAAAGTTACCACGAAGGAAGAATACCTGTACCGTTGAGAAAGTAGATATTTAACAAACAAGATATTTATTTAGATAGGGAGAGAAAGGGAGATGAATGAAAAGAAATGAAGGGGTTGAATGAGAGATAATGAGATCAAAATGCAAAAATATGATGGAGATGCTGTGATCAAAGTCTATTTATACATTATATAAATATCTATGTATATATAGATATAGAAGAGAATAAATCTGGTTTACAGATTATGACGTGGCTAAGGATCACACTGATGACGGCGAAGGAGAGAAGCTGCGCCGCCGGATGAAACAGGAGAGCGGCTGCTCACAGTGAGATAACCCCTGCAGCCTCTGAAAAATCCCGTCTCATGCTGAGCGACAGAAGATTCGATGACGACGGGGGTGTCGAGCCTGATCGCAATGGAAACGGGTTCGGAGCGGCGATGGGTTCAGGCTCGTACCTATTGGCGACAAGCGACGGATTCAACTTCGATGCGACGCTCCCAGCGAGCGTCGTCGCAACGACGGCAACCGGTATGCCGGTTATGTCAGGTTGTACCGGTAACAAGGAAGTCAGATACGCGCCATTTTCTTCGGTCAGTACGTCACTTCCGCCTCCTCTACCACCGCCCCCGCCGCCGCCGCCACCGCCACCCTTACCTCTGCAGATGCAACAGAGAACTTACTCCAGATCCATGACTTCCTTACCACCGGAGCCCTTTATGATAATGCGATCTAAGGCACTGAACAGGCGGGTTTCCATTAACGTCGGTGGCGTTAAGCACGAGGTACTATGGCGCACTCTGGAACGACTTCCTCACACGAGGCTGGGTCGTCTACGTGACTGCAATACCCACGAGGCCATCACTGAACTATGCGACGACTACTCACTTATCGACAACGAGTACTTCTTTGACCGACATCCGAAGTCCTTTAGCTCAATTTTGAATTTCTATAGGACCGGTAAGCTCCATCTCGTTGACGAAATGTGCGTGTTGGCGTTTAGCGACGATCTCGAGTATTGGGGAGTCGACGAGCTCTATCTTGAGAGCTGCTGTCAGCACAAGTATCATCAGCGTAAGGAGCACGTGCACGAGGAAATGCGCAAGGAGGCCGAGTCGCTAAGACAGCGCGAGGAGGAGGAATTCGGCGAAGGAAAGTGTGCCCAGTATCAAAAATGGCTGTGGGATCTTCTGGAGAAGCCTACGACTTCCATCGCCGCCAGGGTGAGTCCTTAATACGATTTATCATCCACAAGACGTCATCTTTACACTCAACTATACTTATTTGTCAAATAACTCAACTTTTTTGACGTCCTCCTTTGACGCACTTTACGGTACATACTCCCTTATCCAATACTCGGACTGTATGTCACGCATTCAGATTGATCAACGTTATCATTCTTAATGATCGCTCCACTCTGGCTTATTCGATCGTTACGCGTCCTTGGCTCGTAATCTCTAAGACGGGAATAGTACGTCCACCATACGTATAGGTTATGTTACAACCTCAGGATCGATTCACGGATCGAATTTAAAGAGTGTCGTGAGCACGCTTTATACTCTTATGTCTTACCTTCGCGTTACTCCCTTTTCTCTTTACGTTAACCTTTCACGTAGTCTAACACGATAAACCCACGCTTGCCCTTTCACAATCCCCTGTGAATTTCATTGTCGTAACACACTTTAAACGTTATCGACGTTTGCAGCTCGTGCTGGAGTCATACGAACCGAGGTACTGAAAAATATAAACGGTGCTAACGGCACCATATTATTTATATTTTTCTTATTTCATTATCACTGTGTAATAATCGTAGACTTCAGAATAGACGGATTTAGCGTAGAGAGCGCGGCGAGAGTCTGTTTCTTGGTTCATCAGAGAGATGCTCGTTACTTAGTTGAAAGTTTAATGATTGCAGTTATATATATAATTCATACATATAAATATACAAACGATCATCAACATTTTTTAGCGTGTATACACTGTATCGTTTTTTTAGCGTTGTTCAAGAGGTTAATTCTTTGCAGAAGCATATATATTATATACTGGCACTGTTACTTACTTCTGTACTTCCCATATTGTCATTTCCTCAGCTGTTTTCTTTCTTTAGAGAGTCATACGTAAGTATCCATTAGTCACTGTAGTGTCAAAATTATAGACGTAATTATATTTACTTGTCGACGTACGTAATATACTTTATCGTTTCTAGGTGGTGTACGACAGCGCTATTATTCCTCTCTGTACATAACCTAGCTTTCTTATAGCTTGTAGTTGATACACGCTGCTGCAGTGTATTAACGTGTGTATTTATCAAAAAAAAGATAAAGTAAAATACGGTTTTTATCGCTCGATGATGATGATGATGATGGGAGGGTTTATACGTGATTACCAGGCATCATGTACGTCCCTTCTCGACACCGCTTCCTAAATGAATGACGAAAAAAAAAATTAATTGTAGTATTTCGTACCAATCGATTCGTTTTTCTCACCTCGTAAAGAGACGAACGGCGAATTGATTTTGTTTGTCATATGGCGATACGCAGCGGCATTTTACTGCCCGACACTTTAAAACCAATGTAAATCCGACTTAACACGTATCCGGTATAGGATGCCACTTTCCTTTATCTTCTTATTTGCATACCTATTGCCTTCGAGTCTAGTATTTTCTCTAGAAGTCAATCGAGACTTTAATCCCGGAAAATGATTGGTCAATGATTATTTAAAATTTTTGCAAATAATTACTCTGTGCCTATATATATATATATAATTAAAGCAAAGTAGATGTTCATATATATATATTATACATGAATGATAATAATACAGTACATTAGCATATATACGTTATGCTTGAGGATTCTGAAAGAAGGCGTCCTGCGTTGTTTACACAAATTACACAAAATCATTGGATTAATTTATCCATCAAATTTCATCTTTCAGTCAGTATCGTGTGTTGTCTAATATCTAGCTAATTGATCTGTACCAAACTTAATTTTTGGTATACCTGTATAGTCTGTTTGCGTTTACTTGGCCCAACTGGGATTTATCATTACTGTCTCGAAGGCATCTACTGCAATTGCCTTGCTGTATACCACGATATGCATAAGCGGCCACAGTGCACTTATGGGCACTGGCATTTGAATCCTTTGGAGTGTTCGCATCTGCGCCAATGACTTACGTGACATTAGACAATTTACCTATCTGAATCGCCATTATTATGAACACGTTATGCATTATAGCCAACATAATTCCGGCATGTCAAATATACCGGTCGTTTCTGATTCCCTTTGAATTATATCGACGCGTAAAGTTCGCATCGACCCTTATACATCGCAACTGGTAATCGATCGTCGGCTAATTTCACGCGTATAACGAATCGCGAATTGTGGGATACTTATTTCTTTGTCATTATCATTATCAATGATAATAATGATAAAATTATTATTATATACAGCCAGTATAAAAATTCTTATTGCAAAATATCTCACGTTATGCAAACCCAATACATGTATAACCGCCAAATCGACTGGTGCAACGGCGCTTTCTTTACCGATTGTTCTCTCTTCCGCTTGGGCCAGCAAGTATCGTATTGTAATAATTCTGTTGTATATATATTATATATAAAAATTAAAAAATACGAAAAGGGATGTGACAGGTACGGATTAAATTAATTGCACGGATTAAAGGGAAAATCGCATGGTATATTTTGTATTTACCAATCAATGATTATTGTTTATTTATTTATTTTCATAATTTATGCATTACACGCTAAACATTCCACATGTAAAAATGTGCGAAGCAAACGCCTCTCGTTCACTCCTCTTTGCATTCGATGTATATGTGTATATATATAAAAGTATAATGTGACGTATGCGCATACGTCACGTGTGTAATACCTGTGCCTCGTTCGCTATAGTACATAGCAATGATTAAGGGCTGGTTTAAATTTATTTTTTTTTTTTGCCACGGGCATAAAGTAATGCGCTGCGTAGGCGCTCACGATGTACATTATAGTGACGTAATGTTGATACAGTACAAGTTAAAATGTGGGAGCGGGGTTTTGATGGGATATTCAACGGTGTGTGTATGTGCTTGGCGAATGTGAACTATTAAACATATTGCAGGGCATAGAAAAAATATTGCCATGCGATCAGTTGTGAATGAATAAAAATTAAGAAACGATTCTTATAGAACGATTTTCATACGATGTCGTCGAGAAGTGACGAGATCGAGTGAGAATCGACTCGAATCGTAATCGAATCAATATTTCGAGTCAGTAACGATAATCGATTGTAAAGTATGAAGTTTCGAGTCAATGAAGAATTTCGATTGCAGCTAACTTCAGAGTAGAGTCTATGCAGTGAATATAAAGTCGAGTTGTCAATTTAATTGAAATCAAGTCAAAGTCAAGTCGAAGTCATCGCCGAGTTCGGCAGTTTGCATTCGTCTCGAACGACGACAAAGGTACGAAGAAAAATTTCCTAACCTCCAAACGTGCCTTTCGTGTGTCGTTTCGAGGGATGCAAACTACCAAAGGTGATTCGCACTTGAAGCACGAAGATTTTTTATCTGTTTCTTACACCTATTAAGTCTTCGAGCTTTAACGTCGATGATCCTTAAAACCCCTTTACACGCAAATATGGCAATGATTTGTACTTACTTACGGCCCATCTTGACGATTCATAATTGGCCGTGCGCAACAATCGTTCCTTCCTTTAAGCAGAGAGGAAAGTGAAAGTAAAAGAAAAAAAATGTTTTTTTTTTTCAAAACCGTTTCCTCGTCTGCTCTTTTTTTTCGTCCTTGCAGTACATATGTATAACGTCTCACGAAAGAGCCTCTGGCCTGTTACGTTCAGTATCGCACCGACAACCACCCCCAATGAGCGAGTCTTAATTACCAGTCTTGATTCTGGCGAAAAGCGAGAATTGACAAAGTTTAGTAAATTTAGGGGAAAAAAAAATCCAAATTTTTTCACATACAAAAATTATGTATCCGAGCCGTACTGTCGCCATCCAGCTAGCACTTCCGTTATCCAATTTTTCCTTGGTACCTTTCTCAATTACTTCCGGTCCACGTGTTGTCCCACTTGTTTAGCGCTAAAGCGTTCATGCTTTGTGGCCTTAGAAAAAGTCTTCGAAGTTAGCACGACGGACATGAGGCATTTATTGGCATTTGGATATATATATATCTCAAGCTTGATGGAAAAGAGCATAGCTATACGTCATATCGCTTACACGTTGTCATCATTTATTTTGTTTCTTTCTCTATACAGTTATATTCTATGCCAAACACGCATGCACAATTCAAAAATAAGTACGAGGGTTCTCCGGGATATCCTTGAAGGAACGCCGCATGAAACGGGCGCGTAAAGGATTTTGGCACTAAAAGCTAATGGCATTGTTTATGCCTTTTGTCTACCTTTTCAATGTTAATATGCCTATAGATATACATATATCTATATATATATATATATCACGATCTTAAATATATATAAATATAGTGTCCACGTCGCTTTCTTATTTCGACTCGTTTATAACCTATAAACGCGTGCACGTGTCCCACTCTGTTACCAGCAGAGTGCGCATGCGCGCGCGCTTTAGTTCTCTCTTTCGTTTTCTCTATTTACCTGCGCATCCGTTACGAAGGTTGTTTTTTCTTTTTTGTTCTTTTCTTTTTTTTCTTGTTTCTAATTTTCTGTTTCGCGTCTTCATTACCCGCGACGGGGTACAGTCTACTAAGGTTGCGAGTCGCGCACGTGCTGATCTCGCGGTTATCTATATTAGCTGTTGTCGTTATTATTGTTATTATTACTGTAGTTGTTATATGGCTTTTATAGGCTTCGCTTTTGTCTCGACGCTTTCTTTCATTCTACGTTGAGTAAACGATTGATCGTGCGATTCGCGAGGAATGACGTGCGTTAACGTATTACGATATTTTATTTGTTGTTTATATCGATCGGCCGGTTTTTCGTTGTCGGATTTATCGAATTTTCAATATTTATACGTCATATTCATCATCCAGCGGTACTCGAAGGTTTCGAGTGTTTGGTTAAGGTTGTTTGAATTTTCGCGGGTCATTCGTAGTGGGAATTTACATGAAAAGGGTGTATACACACGTGCGATAGGATCGTTGGGTTAGATTAGGTTAGACGATAGGATTGACTGACTTGAATTGTAGGTTAGAAAGATACAATTTTTGTAGCATTATTAAATATATATTTGTTTTTAGAGAATGTGAAAATAAAAAAAAATTGAGGTTAGGTCAAATGTCATAGAAAATTATAAAAATTATGAAAGGGATGATTATCGTAGGTGTTAATATGAATGTTCATGATCGTTATGATAATTGTGGATTAATTTTCTACATGAGGATGAGTCTTAGGCGTTAAAAATGATGAATACGACTGACAATGAGTTATACGTCACGTTACAGGTGATAGCTGTGATATCAATACTCTTTATTGTGCTCTCGACGATAGCACTAACTCTCAACACCATTCCTAGTATGCAAGTGAATGACGAGAAGGGGAACTTTCAAGATAATCCACAACTCGCGATGGTCGAGGCCATTTGCATCACTTGGTTTACCCTCGAGTATGTGCTTAGGTTCAGTGCTTCTCCCGACAAATGGAAGTTCTTCAAAGGAGGTCTGAACGTAATAGACTTGCTCGCAATACTACCTTACTTCGTGTCCCTGTTCCTCGTCGAGACGAACAAAAATGCAACGGATCAATTTCAAGATGTGCGCCGTGTAGTTCAAATTTTCCGTATAATGCGCATTCTGAGAATACTGAAGCTCGCGCGTCACTCGACTGGACTGCAAAGCTTGGGGTTTACGTTGCGTAATTCGTACAAAGAGCTTGGGCTGCTGATGCTCTTCCTGGCGATGGGAGTACTCATATTTTCGAGTCTCGCATATTTTGCCGAAAAAGAAGAGCCTGGGACCAAATTTATAAGCATTCCGGAGACGTTCTGGTGGGCAGGCATCACCATGACGACCGTAGGGTACGGTGATATCTACCCTACGACTCCTCTTGGCAAAGTGATTGGCAGTGTGTGTTGTATATGTGGTGTCCTGGTAATCGCGTTACCTATTCCTATTATCGTCAATAACTTTGCCGAGTTCTACAAAAATCAGATGAGACGCGAGAAGGCTCTTAAGCGTCGCGAAGCTTTAGAGAGAGCTAAGCGAGAGGGCAGCATTGTTTCCTTTCATCACATCAATCTGAGGGACGCATTCGCCAAGAGCATGGATCTCATTGATGTCATCGTCGACACCGGTAAGACATATTTACTAACCTCAATCCTTTCAACCAGTCGATCAGACCTGATTATTACCTGATTATTGTTATACTTTGGTTATGTAACCTCTTGCACTCTTTGTTGATCAGCTGTCACGGTAGAGTCACTTGTAACTATCGAAACGTGTGTATAAGTAAATATTATAACTTTTCACAACGACTGTACGCGTACCACGAGTGCATGACGGGTACTGCTTTTCAATATGGCCGACACCACGGCTGTCAATATATTATGCACGTATATAATTGTCGCAGCGTAACTCGACGAAAGACGTTAAAAAATTCAATCTCATCTCGACGATCTGTCACGCCAAAAGACGTTATTTTTACGTATAGATACTACATGGGTCAGTGCCGTACCGTAAGTGTAGGGAGCCCCGTCGGCGAAGAAACGTATTTCCAGGAATGAGATACTGCGTCCTATAAGAGAGACCTCCTCCTCGCTCTTTGTCGACGGTGAATAGTCGAAGAACCTTCTAGCTGAAACACACTGTAGAGATAGCACTCGGAAGCGTCTCCTTACGAGATCCTTAAAGCTCGCACAAAACTCTGAATTTCTTTTGATGAAATCTCGCCCTCACGTGCTTCACAGACGAGGGCGGAAAAACTTTTTCTAAACTACTTGAGACAGTGGTATTCAACACAATTCTTAGAGGTACCACTTTTCGTTTTACAATTTATACGTCTTACGTACATGTGGCCTATTTTTAATACACTATATTTATTTTTTTGTTTTTCAAATACTATTTTAAACGCCGATATTATTTTTACGTTAAATCACCTTTTTTTTTCATATTACATATCCTTAGCCTATACTGCTATTCTGCCGAAATTTTCTGCATGTACGTCACGCCCTTGCGTGTCGAATGGACGTTTTACTTTTTTTGCTCTCTCTCTCTCTCTCTATTTTATTTTTTTAAATTCTTTGTCCATTCGTCGAATTACTTACAACGCAGACAGGCTTGCGGATGATAGTCTTTTTTAATTAATGACTATACTGCTTTCTCTCATCGCCTGTACAAATACAGTGAATTAAGAAAAAAAAAAGGTGTGTGTCACGTCATCGAAATATTAATAAGGTATTTATTTAAATGAATCATGAAAAAAATGATACGACTGATTACATACAATTTTTAATTACTTTTTCACGTCTGTGTCAATAGGAATTTTTAATTTACTTTTTATCCCTTGTCTATCACTTTTTATCAGAATTCATGGTATCGCAAACCATTAACGTATTTCAAATTACTCTGACGTCATAGCTATTTTCAAATATCCACCCGTTATACATATATCGTACAGCTTGTCAAATAGATGCGGCTGTCTGTCGGGCGTGGTCAGGCGCCAACTTTTTTCCCTTGATCCAGACGTAGTTTTTTTTCTTCCTTAGAATTCAATTCCAAGCAATTTCTCATTTAGCGCATACAACATTAGTATATTTAAAAAAATCGCTTCGATCTCGTCCATCTGAAAATCCATTAACCTCAATGTCGCGTCAACATTTTTCACCGAGTATAAAATATTTACGTATCCAAAGGATATTCGTGAATCGTGGCACACCCTGTATGTTCATCAAGTATCCAGAATCAAAAGGGGATCCTGGATACCCTATCATTTTTTTTCTTCATTTAATCTATAGCTTTCCGCTTCGCGGGTCGATGCGTTGCAAAGGAGAAATGGCTCTCGCGGACATCGCGCAAACTATACAGCAGGACTAAACATAATTAGAAATTGGATTGTGCGAAAGAAAAAACAAGACAAAAAAATTAAAAAAGATAAACGAAAGAGCGAGAGGGTGAGCTCGAACGAATAAAAATATAGACAAAGACACAAATTTCGAAAGATTCAATTTCCCCCCTCAAACGTCCCAGTCCCCTCGCAGAGATAACCTCGATGGAATGTGACTGATGAAAATTGTAGATATACATATATATATATATTTTTTTTTAAGAAAAATCTGAGTAAACAAAAATTCACCGGGAATTTATATGAATTTAATCGCAGTGTCGATAAACATTGTTTGATACTTTCTTTTATTGCTATATCAATCTAGCATAATTATTTGCATTTTATAAATATAGGTATGCAATGAATTTATTTTTCTTTTTTCTGTCTCCTTTCTCCCCCCCCCCTCTCTCTCTCTTTCTATGTTCTTATCAGTAATAGGAAAATGTCGTACCCTTGGTTGAATACCACTAACGTTGTAACACGTAACTGACTCTTTATGGATATTGCTTATTTTTGTCGTACACGAATCGTTACTTACTTTCTTCCTAGTAACCCGCCAGTCAGTTTGCCTGAGAGCTCATTTACGATAAATCACTTTGTAACGCGTTTACCTTTCTTATTTACGGCGTACGGTAGAATTATGGTAAATTTGAACTATTATTTTTATACCTGCTTTTGTTGGTACTTTTCGTTTTTAGATCCTTATTAGCCGAGATGATCAGCTTTTACTTGTATTAACTGTTATACATTTTTTTAAAAATGTTGTATAATGCATACAGTCGGATTGTATATGCTTAATCCACCCATAAGTTATTTTTAATGATTCGATCGCTATATCTATTATTAAACGCTATGTCGAAATCGTCTCACGCACTTATGCTTGCGGAAAGCTTTAAAAATTTAGAAATAAAAAGAAAGACTTTTACGTTCTGCGTTTATTAATTTTTAGTTAGGACTTGTAGTGCAATTGCGTAATATTAATGGCGCTTCGCATGCGAACTGTATCTGGCGGGATGTGATTTGAAAATTGTTGTAAAATAATTGTCGGGATTCATCGTTACCGGAAATCCAGAGATTTATCGAATAGTTTATTTGAAATCTATTCAGTAGCATTCATTGATATAATTATTACTTAGCAATGTATAAAGATAGTAATGAAATAGCGTGATAGATCTGTATATTTTTAAATGATAATGAAAAAGCCGCGCTTTTCTTCCCATTCGAATGTCTAGCATACGAAACTAGTCAGTTTAGTTCTTATAAGTTTATACGACATTGTTATTACATACCTGAGCGTAATTTCGTCTATGCTGATTTCACTGTTATCCATATTGAAATTGTTTAGTTCCTTCAAATATATTTAGAATAAATTCTCCTTGAAATTTTAATCCGTTGTGTTATTCGTTACGGCAGTACATATAATACGTTGCTGTATTACTATAGCGACAGTGACCGTGCGGCAAATGCTAGTCAAAACAACGACGATACGTAACTAGTCAAGCGTAGGTATTTGTACCATAGAAGGGAAGCCTGTATAGTTGCTATCGGTGCTTTACTGATGACAGAGAAAATACAAAATTAGTTAAGAAAATTATTTAACGCTATTATATTCTTCTAGGTCACAATATGTCCGGTGTCGATGGCAATAGTACAGAGGGTGAGTCTGCATGTGAACGCGGACCTGCACAGACTGGAGCTGGATGTTATAGAAATTACGAGCATTACACTCTCTCGCGACATCGTCGTAGTGCCTCGTGTTTACCGATTTTACCGAATGATATACCAACGACGCCAGACAGTCCGAACCGACGGTTACTCGATTTTGCCCAACACATGCCTACCAACACACAAAACGAGGATTACTTCCACGACGAGATGCCTGCGCAACATTCGATTCAAGGCAATACAACACCCAGCGTAAGTTCATTATCAATTGACAATTGATCCGTTAGCTACGTCATTAACCTGAAAACGATGGCGCGATTTTCTTCTCCATTGGAAAAGCATTGAGTCGGGGCGTCTCGAACATTCCATGCGCTTCGCTCCCGGCTTAATATTAAGCTGGTGCAAAAATAATTGTCGTTTTTATTAAAAGGGCTTGTAACAAAAATCACAATTATTTTTACATCTATTTAATATATGTTGTTCACTTTTTTTCTTTGTCCTCCAATAATGATGAACTTTCAGCACGCTTCAGATCTCGACTCTATGAACCTTTTGACTTAAGCTGTTTAGTATACGTAAAACGGATATGACGTAGTTAACGGATTTGTTGTACAGCCTGCGTAGAAAATTCAATTTTTATTATTTGGCTTCGCTACTCACTCTTCATCGCTCCGTTAGATACGATGTTTTTCTTTTCTTTACTTTGTTTTGACACTAACTTTTTTACTTTGGTATTACTGTTAATCATAGGTTTTGTAATATCGTATATATTTTTTCTTTTTTTTTCATTATGTTTCCTATCGTGTCTTCAGGCAGTAAGTAATTCTCCGAAAGTTTCGGTTGCGACTGTATCCTTTGGATATGTTATAATTATATAATTTTTAATTAATAAATTTATAATCCATGTTCATAGTCTTTTTACCATGATTCCTATTTTTCTTCCGTGTTTTCGTTATGCCGTTAAGGTGGAATGAAATTTAAATATTGTTTATGGCGCGAAGGAAAAGTTTATGACGTTCTCTCCGGGTGATAATTATCGGCGTATCGATAATCATCAGCGTACATTATTATTAATTTATATATTTTATTATATTTTATTCGTAGACAAAGTAGCCGCGCTTTTTCACTCCGTTTAAACGACATTGATTGATCACTGGAAAAATACCTAATCTCATTTCGGTCAATACCTAAGTGTAGTTTCATCAGTTAACTTTAAATGGTGATTGATTGGATTTCTTCAGTAAACACGTATTTCCATCGCAATTTCCAATTCATTTGCAATTTAGACTAGCACCGTAGAAGAATAATCAGCAAATTATTTACGTTCGATTAGATTAATCTGAGGAGCCCGAAAGACTATCAATGAGTCGAAGTGATTAATACGCGATAAAAAAGAAAAAAGAAAATAAAAATAATTATCCGCATCCCTTGGTTTCATTAAAAATTCAATAGAGCAAACTGTCAGACGAACTGTTTACGTTGAATTTGGAATAATAATAAAAGAAAAAACACATATAGGAGTCTGAATGATTACTTATTTTTCAGATTACCCGGTAAATGAAAATAGCACGTATATACGTATACGTAATATGTAAGTTTTCACATGTCAGATCTTTTTTTCGTTATTAAATGTTTCATGTAATATATCGACGTTCGCTATTACATAATCATTTCTGCAAGTCGTTGTGATATAATAGTCGTTATAGAAAATCGCGGGAAATTCAAATATTTCGATCGAACCAGAATCCCGCCTATCGATTGTTCACTGTCTCTCTGGCTCCCCGGGATAGTTGAAGTGCCTCGTGTAGTGCCCCTGCCATTCCTTGCGTAGATTTCATTCTTTTGCAACTCTCCTCGTCCGGGACACTCGAACACACTTCGGAGTCGTACAAGACAAATAACAACGGAGTTAAGGCGCAGCGTGAATGACGGTTCTTGGGCCCTCGAGGGGTCCTCCAAGCACTTTAACTTGAATTCCACAGTTTCATGAAAGTGGAGCTTGTTGTTTTAACGGACAAAGCTTATTGTTCATCTCGCTTCCTTCTCGTCGGTCCAGACAAGATTTTTGTTTATTCATTCATTATGAACTCCGAAAGTCGTTCGATCGTGTTTACGACGTGACGAGTGGGCGGTTGAAAATATTTAGAAAAAGTTAAGAGCAAAGTTTTCCTCCAAATGTATCGTAAGTAAGTGTAACCCATCTGTGATATTATAGGACGAAGAGAAAAAAGACAGCAGAAAATTCGAGAAAATTGATGAATTACCTAGTGAATTCGAGTGTTGCTTTTGTACTACGAAGGTATTTACCATAACCTAACATTTTTCCTCCATGACCGAGATCATTATACACCGTGGTCTATAAGACACCGGATTGCCACTCGACCGATAACTCTTTTCTACTTTACCGACCGACCTCGTTGGCGAATGATAATAATACTGACATTTCGGTCAATGGAAATGTCGCCTGTCAAATAACGTATTACGTGTAACGCTAAATCGCGAAAATGTCATTGTATATAGTTTATAAGCGGACAAAAAAGAATTTTTTAAAATAAACAATCGAATCGCGAAATTATTATTCGCGAATGATAATAATATCTTTGTTATCTCCGTGACTTTATAGCCCATCGGGTGTATAGACTGCTCGAGACAAGCACTATAATTTCTTTTTTTTCTCTCTTTTATTTTCTTTCCAGTGACGTTATCACACCAAGCACTATAATCACTTACTCTAACTGTTTGATTTGTCTGTAATCTTTTACACGTAAAGTTAGGTAATGCTTTTGTCCATACATTTTAAGTAGCGTTCACACCAATAAATCGCCACATTGGAAACTCGATATTATACTGATTCTTTTTATTTTTTATTTTTTATTTCCACCATAGTCATCACCAGTTTACATGTTTACTCTGTATATTGACAAATCATATATTTGTTAATGATGACTTTTATGTATTCTTACAGACAGGACGATCGATGACGATTGTCCCTTTGTGAATATATATATAATTTATTGTTTATTTATATTTAATGATAATATCGTAGCAGTCTAATCATTTTGTTACGTGGGATTTGACATGTATTATTTTTACTCGAATTTAATGTTTCTGGTATTATGATTATTGGTCTTAACTAGATTTTCCAAAAATCTACTAAATACGTGTTTATCTCGACATAGTTTTCGGAAAGTTTTAAATATTCTTGAAAACTTGCCCTAAAGACGTTACGTACCGAAGATATAATCCAATGTACACTGCCAGTCATTGTTACTTTTCTGACAGTTTCGATATTATTTTTCCTATCTATGTGAATTGATTAGTTTCGGATCGGTAGCCGATCGAAAGGCAAACCGATCTACGTATTGAACTGGCACGTCTTCTCGTTAGAGGAGTCAGCCATAAGGAAAGGAAAGAAGGAAGGATCTACGTATTGAATATAGACTGGTGCATATTTCTTTAGGGCTAAAGCTGTAAAGGAAAAGAAAAGTATTGAATATAGTAATATTATATAGCTTAGTTCAAATGATAAAGTGAACGGATTTCTTATCTTATTTATCGATTACCGATTGCAGTTTACAGTTACCGATCGATACGTTTTACCATAGGCTCGTTTTCTTTACCTTCTACTTTATTAATTCGCAGCACAAAAGTATTTTATAAATTTCTCAGCTAGTCTCCACCTAACAGTCATAGTCATTCGAATATTCATTTGTCTATTTTACTAACCGCGTATTTCGTGCATAAGAGAAATCAACTGCAGTGCAAGTTGCGTTTAAAAGGCGTTTGAAAAAAAATTTAGGAAAGGAAAAAGGATGGAAGCAGAATAAAGTACGTAGTGAAAGGGAGAAAGAGATAAATAAAAAAATCTTTTGAAATAGAGCACCTCCCCGCCTATTTCCGTGAGGCTCTGCCTCTGCATAAAGAAGCTACTGCCGCTCCATAATCCAACTGTGTACCTTTGTTGGGTCAAACCCCTGAGCCGTCATATCCTAGGGAAACCCAGTGGGGATAAGGATGAGGATATAGCTGGATAAAAATTATTATAAACAGAATACGCGTGTAAAGGGCTGGACCAAATCCTCTGCAGATCAGAAACACACAATTTGAGCCCAGCCTACGCGGACAGTGAGATCCGTCTTACGAACTGCTGACTGCTGTGTTACAAAGTACTCTACAACTTTCGAAGGGGATTCCCCGGGGGAAATGGTGCTGACGTAGATGCTACGGAGTTGACTGTCATACCCAGGTAATATCACGGAGAAGCAATAGCTCAGTGGAAGTTGTAGAGTAAACAGGTAACACAAACAGAGAGAGAAAGAGGGGGGAGCGAGAGAGAGAGAGAGAGAACAATATTTTTACACTAGGGCTTTTAACCCTGTAAGTATAAATAAAAATAAACAAGAATGATAGCAGACGGTCATAATGAGTACAGTAGAGATGGTAGGAATAACAGTGCTAATTCTAAAAATAGCGGTAATAATCAAGTGATAGTAATAGTAATAATAATAAGAATAACAATAATAATAGTGCCCTAAACAAGGTGATAATAGTAATATGTACATAGTAAAACATAATAATATTAGTAGTAGAGCAGCTAAGTGTTTAAAAGGAACGCATGCAGTGCAATTTTGAAAGATTTCAAAGCAGTTATGTCCCGGATAGTAGTTGGTAGGGAGTTCCAGAATCGGATCGCAGATATGAAGAGAGAGAGAGAGAGGACGCGCGAGCAAGGAAAAGGTCGCACCCTACCGGTCGGACGGATCTGGGATAAAGGAAAGCTCCGGGCGGATACATTCCCGGTATACCAGGCAGTGCCCTCCAAACTTAAAGGTCCTATTTTCCCTTTCCTTCATCGGCGTCGCTGTGAGAGGTCGATAGGAGTTTTGAGGAATTTTAGGATTTGAGTTCTCTCAGATGCTTTATTCACATCCACAGTGCGCTATGTACTCTTATGCAAGGCTCTAGACGTAAACATCATCGAGATTGGATAATTAGGAAGGAAAAAGGATAGAGGGGTATAAGAACGTAACGTTACACATTAGATATATAGTTATAATTATAATTGTATACTTTTATACTTTACTGTACTTTTCTTGTCACGTTTGTATAACTGTCGTTATTTGGTTTTAAAATCTTCGAATTAAACGTCTAATGGGACATGACTTTGTTCGACTAGATTGTATCACGTGTATTATATTGCGATATTTATTATTCTTTCTTATTTTTCTTTACGGCTTTATTCCCAATGGGACTTCTGCCGGTCTATAGTCAATACGCAGATAGGTTTGTCTTTCGGTCCGCTATCGATCTGAAACTAGTCAGTTCACATAGATGGGAAACATAATATTGAAGTTCAGGAAAGTGTCAACGGAGCAGTCTACGTTAGAGGTCTAAATTTTTAATATGTTATTGATATACGTTTTATACAGAGTATTCCCTTTGTGCATTTTACACTGTATATCCTGAACGTATAGAATCGTTTGATCGACGGGAATATAGCTGTTTGAAGTAACTTGTAAACAAGATTGGACTACTTAGGAAGTAAATCGATCTTGGGAATTTTTTATCATAATATTTGCATGGTCGATAGGAAAATGGTCGACTGATGGCTATATTGTGATAAAGGTGTGGTGAAAGGCGGGGGG